GAGTCACCAGAGCGCTCCCTACATAGTCGCCTCGCGCTGCGGCGCGTACCAACGCGCCGCCGCAGGGGGAGACAGCTCGACGGGCGTCCTCCGGGAGCCGTGGCGTCCTCTTCGCGGCGGCCGCGTCCCCCAGGCTCGAGGTCCCGCGCCCCCAGGGCGGGGGCGGGGCGGGTGGGGCGGGCTCGCGGCCGCTAGGTCCCGGGCACTGCAGGGGTGGCCCTCCCCGCGTCCAACTTGGTACGCGCCAGCGGCGAGGCCAGGCCCAGCCCGGGCGGTACAATAGGGTTGGGCCGCGGCGGGGACTGGGCCGGCGCTGGGCGAGGAGCAGGATCGCGGCCGGAGCCGACAGACACTGGGCGGCCGGCGACTGCGAGCCCGCAGGCCACCAGACGAGCCAGCCTCGACCTACCCCGGAGCTCCCCCCCCTTCGAATCGTTGCCCGCCGGGCTGGGCCCGGCGTGATGCACCGCGGGACCCCTATCCTGGCCGCTGGCCGCCGCCGCCGTCGCCGCTGCTGAAATCCCGAAGACTCCCCAGTGACGCCGCAGCCATGGAGAGCGGCTCACGTTCGGAGCCCGGTGCCAGCGCAGCCCCAGGTATGCCATAGGCGAGATGAGAGAGGGGGATCGTGGGGCCTCGGACAGGCCGAGGATGAGGCCGGCCCGGTCGGCGGGGACCCCTCCCCTGCCGAGCCCTCTGACCACTTGGAAGTTCAAAAATTAAGGTTGCAGCGGCGTCGGCGGCTCTGGGCTACCGACGCATCTTCTGACAGCTGCCCCCTCCCCCATCCCGGGCGCTGGGACGTCCTGGGCGCCAGGATCCGCGAGGAACCCAATGTGGAGTTGTTGGTGACCCTTCCGCCCCAGCCCAGTGCCACCTCGGCTTCCCTGCCCTTAGCCTTCTTCCCGATCCACCCCAGGCCCTGAAGATCCTCTTCTCCTGAGCTGGGGCGTCTGTCCCCTCCCCATCCCCGGTGGGCACATGTGACCCCAGCCTGAACGTGTGTGTCGGGGGTCCACATTCTCAGGCCTGAAGCCTTGCATACCGAAGCCTAGGCCCTGGCGCCCCCCCCCTCCCCAGGCCCTGGCCCAGACCTCGCCCCCACCCCATCCCTCCAGCTGCCGCGCAAAGGGCCTGTTGCTGCTGCGGGCTGGCCGGGAGGGGAGTAGAGGGGAGGGGAGGTCTCGAGCGGCGGCTGCCAAGTAACCCGCCGGATAAAGGCGAGGGGGAGGGGGAGGCGGCATTGTTTGGGGCGAGGGCGGGAGCTGGGGAGTGGGCCGATTCCCCTGCAGCCTGGCCTACTCTGGAGCCCACCCAGGCCGATTTGGGGAGGAAGGGGACAGAAGTAAATCTGTCTACCCTGGTGCCCTCCTTCCCAGCCTCTCCGGTCCTGAGTCTTTCCCTGGAGAATGAGGTGAAGGCTTGAGGCCGGCACTCCAGGGACCTGCCACATCATTCCTCAGGCTGAGGCTTCTGATACCTAACCCCCCCCTTACACACACACACACACACACACACACACACTCTCTCTCTCTCTCTCTCTCTCTCTCTCTCTCTCTCTCTCTGTCTCTCTCTCTCTCTCTCTCTCTCTCTCTCTCTCTCTCTCTCTCTTTCTCTTTCTCTTTCTCTCCAGGCCCCAGACCATCAAAGCTCTCTCCCCTCCCCTCACCCCACCAACCACCAGTGCCCAGGACTTCTGCAAATCCCTTTCGGATCTGGGAGCAGCTGATGAGGGGGTGGGGACAGGTTTCTGGTTGGGCCTGGGGTTGGAGGGAGGGATTTCTCCTTCTCTTTCTTCCTGGAAAGGGAGGGAAGAGCTTGATTACTGAGGACCTAAGTCCTGTTCCCACTGACTCAGGGGGGAGGTGGCCCCAACCCTACACCTCCATAGAGTCCTAGAGCCTAATCCCTGTCACCTCCCTGCCCCCTGGGGCATGGGCCCAGGATGAAACAGTGTCTGTGGGTGCGGAGAGCGCAGGACAAGGTGGAGCCGCTTGGCTGTGGGTGGGATCCTCCCCATGCCAGTATGGGTGCTTGGAGGGGATCCTGTGGGTGTGGGAGCTGAAGGACGCAAAGGGGAGGCTGTCAGACTGGTGTGGTTCCGGAGGTTTGTAGGCTATGCTGGAACAATGGCACTTTGGTTCGTCTTGGCTCTGCTGAGCCTGAGAGGGGACCCAGGGAGGCCTAGGCTGGGTCAGTTCCATCTGCTTACTGGCCCTCTGCAGCTGAGGGTCTCTGGCACTGGTGTGTACATCGGGGCCTGAATGGCGGTGATTACTGGGCCAGAGATGAGGGCTGGAGTGAGTAGCTGGTTTATAAGCAGGGCACTGGAGTGGGATGTCTAGACTGAACGTGAGGGCATGGGCGGGATGCTTGGCTGTACTGGGGGGCGCCTGAAGTGGGTCCTGCATACAGGGTCCTGGATTGGGAAGACTTCTACACATAGGGACCTAGATGGAGTTACATGAGAACCTGGGTCAGGATGGTGGCTGGTCCCTACACAGAGAAGCTGAAGGTGACAAGGGCCCTTGTGAGTCAAGAGCTTCCAGGGAGTAAAGGATTTGTCCACTACACGTGCCCTTGTGAGAGTTTGAGACACCAAGTGTGTATGACGTGATTCCTGCCCTCTTTGAGTTCCCTTTGCACACTGAGCATTAACAGGAGGCAGCATGCAGCAGGGGTCAAGTGTGGACTGGAGCAAGTGACTTAACCTCCTCTGGCCAGTTTACGCCCCTGGAAAATGGAGGTAGTATTATCAACCTTGTGGGGTTAATGTGAGGGTCAGAGGTGATGTACCTAAAGGAACCTGGCACACAGACACCTGCAATACAGTGTTATTGCCATTACTGTCATTATGCTTATCGGAACTGGTGCCAGCAGGGAGGTACGAAATATGGAGGAAGTGAGGGCAGGAATTGGGAGTCAGTTTGCTTAAGAGTGTAGACTCTGGAATCAAACAGTTTAAGTCTCCCCTTCATAACTTACTACTGTGTGACCTTAGGTAATTTGCTTAAGTCTTAAGTTTTCCCATTGATAAAATGACAATAATGCTGGACATTATCTCATAGAGACATTGGGATCATTAAGTTAGAGAAACGCATAAAACACTTAGGAGAGGCCCTGATATGTAGTCAATGCTCAATAAACACTATTTATTTTTGTTGTTATTATTTTTAATTCCTTCAGAGGCCTGAGGTGGAGGTGTGATTAATTAGAACTTCAGGAGGTAAATGTAGGCCAGAGAGCAAGGGGGAGGTGCGTTCTAGACAGACATGACCCAGGCTGTATCTGGGGAACAGAGGGCCCCATACTTGAAGTGGGGCAGTTGGGAGTAGGAGAGAGACTCAGGGGATGGGTGCAGCCATCCAGCGCAGCCATACTGTTGCCCACCATGTGCCAGCTTGGTGCTGGCTGTACAGATGGCAGAAAAGTGAATCAGAGTCACTACCCTCAGGGAGCTCCTGGCCCAGTGGGGGAAGCCAATGTGTTCACTGCTGGGAAGTCCAGGTATAACAGTGATACAGTGGTTGGTGGAATCTGCTTATGGAAGACTTCACAAAGGAGGCATTTGAGGTGGACCTGTATGGATGAGAAGATGGACTGCCTCTCTACATACAGCAGCCAGCCTGGCTGGCAGCTCCCACTGACAGTTTCTGTCCCTCCCTGGGTTGGTGGGCCCAATAATGAGGCCTCTAATGAGCCCCTAATGTGCAGTCATGCATATGCAAATAAGGAGGAAGGGGCACCAGGCCAGTTCACTCCCCCAGCTCCTCCTCCTGGGGGATGGGCATCAGCTGGTGGTGGGAAAGGGCTGAGGGAGCAGGGGAGGAGCTGAAAGCAGGGCCCAGGCTGGGGTGGTGGCACTTGAGGGTGGTCAGGGCAGGTCTCAGGTCTGATCAATGTTGGGATTTTGGCCTCAAGCAGCTGGGGACCATGTCTTTGGGTCCCCACTGGGCCTTGGGGCTGGTAAGGCAGCCAACGAGCCAGCCCAGATAATGCAGCTTTGTTGGAGGTGGCAGCTCTGCCTGGCACCCCAGGGCACAGCCTTCAGCATCTCCACCATCACCTCTCAGCTGCAGCTCTGCCCCGAGGGGAGCAGAGAGCATGGTAGGGGGTAGACAACCTGGTATCTAGTGCTCCTCCCCAGTTATACGAGGAGATATGGGCCAAGAATAGACCCTCCTGGTGATCCTACTTATCTCCTACAGGTCTTTATTAAGGACCTTCTGTGTATCACACATAGCACTTAGTACGTCTCGTGCATTGTCTCATTTGATTCTCAGAACTATCCTGGTAGGGACTAGTATTAGCCTCATTTTATTATTTATTTATTTATTTATTCAAATTTTCTTTTTCGTTTTTGGCTGTGCCACGCAGCATGTGGGATCTTAGTTCCCTGACCGGGAATCGAACCCGCACCCCCTGCAGTGGAAGCTCGGATTCTTACCCACTGGACCACCAGGGAAGTCCCATATCCTCATTTTATAGATGAGGCTCAGAGAGGGAAGTAATTTGCTTAAAGTCACACAGCTAGGTACTGGCAGAAGCAAGGTTTGAACCCAGGTCCGTCCGACTCTAAAGCCTGTGCACCAAACCTCTATGCTGAATTAGCATGGCCAAGCCAGCTGGTGATAAGAGTCTGGCCCGCTGTCCTTGCATGACTGGTCTTCTACGGGCATCTTGGTTTTAGGGACCCTGTGAGCTTTTCTCTGGCAGGCAGAGGTAGAATCAGCAGAGCCCTGGGTCCTCTGTGCCTCCTGCTGGGTTGGAATCTGAGCAAGTGGGACCAGAAGCAGGCCCTGGACTCAGGCAGTGGTGACAGTTCAGCCAGTAGGCCATCCTCAGGCCTTGGCCTAAGTCTGGGCTTCTGTCCTCAGCTTCGAGGCCCCAGCGTGGGCAGCCCTGTTGGGGCTGAGGGAGGGCCCAAGCTGTGGGATGGGGTCATTTCCTGCCGCCTAAAATAACAGGAAGTGGGTGCTCCTGATTGGAGGCTGGGAACAATGGCCGCCAACCGGGCCAGAGAGCCCTTCAGATCTGCAGTCTCAGGTGGGATCCCGGCTTTATCACCCACAGAGGCCCACGGCCTGGCCCCAGTGCCCTGCTGCGAAGGGCCTGTGGTCCAGGTTCAGAGGACCACCGGAGCAAGCTGTCCCTCTCCTAGTTCACTCCCTTCCAGAGCTGGCTCAGCTCTGTCCCGGCTGGGAGTAATGCTGCCCCCTAAGGCTCCCCTCTGTCCCAGCCCCATGATCAGGCATCTCCCAGGGTTTGTCCTTCCTGCCCACCCCATCCTCCCAGCCCAGATCTCTCCAGGAGAGGAAACCCAGGAGGCTGCCCCCTTTGGGTAGCAGAGTGAAGGTACAGACTGTCACCCTAATTTGGGACCCAAACCCAGCTTTGCTACTCACCAGCAAGTCTCTTAATCTCTCTGAATCTATTTCATTTGTCAAATGGGGTAATAATGTCGACCTCATAGGATTGTGGTGAAGATGAAAAGAACTGAAGCTTTAAGGTGTTTAGCTGTGCCTGACACAGCATTAGCTGTTGCTGCAGTTACCTGGACTTTACCTGGGCCCAGGTAAAGGAGTGCCCAGAGGGACAGGGCCGAAGTGACCTGGATGAGGCTGTGTAAATATACTGGGACATCACGTCCCTGAGTGCTGTATGAATCTCTGAGGTTTCTGACTATGCCTTGGAGGGGGTGCCTGACTGCGTGTGTGTGTGTGTGTGTGTGTGTGTGTGTGTGTGCGCGCGCACGCGCAGATTTCTGAATCCCAGTAGGTCTGTTTTGTGTATGTAACAGGAGAGAGAAAAGAAACGTGTCTTGTCTCTCACCATTATGCAGACTCTGTCCACATTGTCTGCGTCTCTCTCTGCAGTGTGTACCCTCTGTCTGCGTGTGTGTCTTTGCCCCTTTGTCGGCCTCCCTGTCATCGTTTGTCTGGTCCGATGCTGCCACCTAAGGAGCTGCTACGAGAGCCAGGAAGGCTCTGGGTAGGGGTCAGCTAGATGCTGACCTCTGCTGTCTGTGCAGCCCCTCCCCTGGGCACTCCCTTGCTCAGCCTCCTGGAGGAGGGCCACTCGCCCTCACACCTGCTCAGGTGCCCCACTTCTTGGCTCCTGGTGGCCAGCCTGGGCAGGAGCCTGCCTTCCCTGCATTCCTGCCCTCTGAGCTCAGTGCCTGCCTGCCCCACCTGCACCCTTCATCTTCATGGGGGAAACCTCCCCAGGGGAACCACTGAATCACTTCCTTCTTCAGGGAACAGGCAGGAGCCTTAGGGAGGGGTGATGTGACACCCACCAGAAACAGTGTGACATAAGGGTTTTGTCATCAGACAGCCTTGGGCCCTGTCCTACCTCCGACACTGACGTGAGCAGTTCACTTAACCTGTCTAAGTGTTCGCACCTGGGGAACAGGGGCCCCTATAGCACTTTCCCTTTGGGGCTGTAATAAGAACTAGATGAGATAATGGAAGGTGCCTGGTGTACTGTAGGGCTTCAGCTGTGTTTCCCTTCCTGGGCTGAGGAGCTGGCAGGGCACATACAAGGCTCTGATATGGTAAAGACATTTAGGGTTAGAGAGGCTAGACTTTGGAGCAGCTTGGGGTTTTACTGTGTTATCCACAGTGCATCCATCCATCCATCCATCCATGCAGGTGTTCATTAAACAGACACAGAATTCCTACTCTGTGCTGGGTAGGTCCTGTATAAAGCTCTGGGCTGCAAAAAGGATTCTCGCCACCAACTCTCGCAGGGGCAGCAGGCAGACAAAAAGGGCAGGCTGAGTTATCGGTATTGTGAGAGGAGTTTTGGCCCAGGAGCAGTTGTTGGGGAGGGATGAGAGGAAAGGCCTGCCAGCGCCCAGAGGGTGGAGATGGGGAGTAAGCACCCTGAGACATGTGACAGGCCCTCCGAGAGACTCTACTAGACTTACTGACCCTGCAACCAGCTCCTGCACCTTTGCCCTACTAATGCCCTTTGTGCCAAGAAATGAATACAAACTATCTGTCACTTATCCAGTTCTTAACAAATACTTCTGGTAGATATCAGCATAGCGAAATAAAACCTCACAATTTGACACACACAAAAATACAATAAAATGAGGTGGCTGAAGGATCACATCTGATGATTGAAAATAGAAATAATCAGATATTGGTTTAACCACTCCACACCATATAGATAATTAACCAAGGAATTAATCTGGCTTAATTTGTTCCGAATAGCACTGTCCCAATGATATTTCATCAGGGTTGGCATAATTCTGAGGAAAATATTTGGATTCGGGGTCAATAGTCCTCCAGGTCAGAAGAAGAATTTCAAACGTGCTATTTGCCTCTTGGGAAGTTTTTCCTGTTGAACTGCTGGAGTCAACACGCATTATTACTTTTATTAACTTCTCCCTGACTACCTTAGTCCAAGAAGCTGCCCAAACTCAATTGAGGGGGAGTTGTTTTGCTTCCCTTCAAGTGCTTATCCCTTTGCAAGAAATTGCAATATGGGTTTGCTCATTATTAGAGTAAAAATCTCCTTCTCTGTGCACCTGCTTTAGGCAAGGGTGGCTTCCTGGTACAGTGCTTTATTCTCATTCGGCAGCATTTCGTGATGGTCTCCACATACTGGGCACCACGGTAGCTGCTGTGGAAGCAGTGGCGAGCAGAGCAGATGCGGCCCAGCCCCTAGGGGGAGGCTGACAATAACAAAAGAACCAAACAAGGAAGTATAAAATCGTAACAGTCACAGTGCTCCAAACAAGAGGCACATGAAGCCATGACTATATATAATGAAGGAATTTACCCTGTTAGGAGAGGCCAGGGAAGGCTTCCCTGAGGAAATGATGCCTAAGCGAAGATCTGAACGGTGAATGGGAGTTAAATAAGAAAGGACGGAGGGGAAAGAGCATGTGCAAAGGCCCCGTGGCAGAGGGAGTGTGCAAGGCTATCAGAATTAAAAGGTCAGTGTGGCTGGAGTGTAGAGAGCAAGTGGGGAGCAGGGGAGCAGAGGTGGGGACTCAAGAGGTGTAGGGAGGGAGACAGGGGCTTCAGACTGCCAGACTTGCAGCCTGGGTTCAAGAATTTTGTCTTTCTCTTCAGAACAAGGAGAAGTCACTGTGAAGCTTCCAGTGGGGAAGAGTACCGTGGCCAGATTTGCATTTGGAAACAATTACTTTGGCTGCTCAGTGAAGAGCAGAGTGGGAAAGGGTGCGGGTAGGACAGTGGGGGGAGTTTGCAGTCATCCAGGGAAGAGAGGTGCTGATGGTATCTGCTAGGGTGGAGTTCATTGATACATTCATTCAACAAATAGCTGTGGAGCACCTGTGTGCCAGGCTCTGTTGGCCTTAGAAATAGAAGAGCTAAACATAGTAGACAAAAATGTGTGCCCTCGTGGAGATTACCTTCTGGGGGTGGGAGACAGTGTTAAATTGCTACTGATGCTTACTGGGAAAAATAGAGTTGGAAGGAAAAAGAATACAGTTGGAAAGGGGAGGGAGACTTCAACTACAGTTTGTAGTTTTAAGGAGGGGATCGGGGAAGGCTCGAATGAGAAGTCACATACGGGTAAAGATCTGAAGGAGGTGAGGGAGTGAGACATGCAGGATCTGGGGGCAGAGAATTGTGGTAGAGGGAACAGCGAGGCAAAGCCCCGAGGCAGAAGCACGCCTGTCACAAATAAGGAACAGTGGCCAGGAGAGAAGGAGCAGGGGGAGAAGGGGACGAGGAGAGGAGGCCAAGAGGTAATGGGCTGGAGAGTGAGGCTCCCCAAGGGCCTTGGAGGCCATTGTGATGCCTTTGGTTTTTCCTCCCTTGAGGTAGCATCTTTGGAGGATTTTGTCAGTTCCCCAAGCAGGGATTGAACGTGGGCCACGGTAGTGAAAGCCTGCAGTCCTAACCACTAGGCCACCAGGGAACTCCTGATCTGACTTATTCTTTTTTTTTGTTTTTGCGGTACGCGGGCCTCTCACTGTTGTGGCCTCTCCCGCTGTGGAGCACAGGCTCCGGATGCGCAGGCCCAGCGGCCATGGCTCACGGGCCCAGCCGCTCCGCGGCATGGGGGAGCGGGGCACGAACCCGTGTCCCCTGCATCGGCAGGCAGACTCTCAACCACTGCGCCACCAGGGAAGCCCGCCCTGACTTATTCTTGAAAAGAATCATTCTGCTGCTGTGGTGAGAGAAGACCAAAGGGGAACAAAGAATGGCAGCAGGGAGGCTTTTGTGAGAGATGATAGTGGCTGGACCACGATGATAGAAGTGGAGATAGAAGTGATTGGATTCAGAATATACTTGGCATGTGGAGCCAAAAGGATTTACTGAGACATTAGATGTGAGTTGTGAGACAAGAAAAGATTCTAGAATGACTTCGAGATTTTTGGCCTGAGAAACTGGAAGGACTGGGTTGCCATTGACCGAGATGGGGAAAACTGGAGGAGGAGCAGGGTTTGGGGGAGAAAGATTGGGAGCTCAGTTTTGGATGTTAAATTTGGGGCATCACAGACATAGAGAATGGACTTGAGGACACGGGGAGGGGGAAGGGTAAGCTGGGATGAAGTGAGAGAGTGGCATGGACATATACACACTACCAAACGTAAAATAGATAGCTAGTGGGAAGCAGCCGCACAGCACAGGGAGATCAGCTCGGTGCTTTGTGACCACCTAGAGGGGTGGGATAGGGAGGGTGGGAGGGAGACGCAAGAGGGAGGAGACATGGGGATACATGTGTATGTATAGCTGACTCACTTTGTTATACAGCAGAAACTAATGCACCATTGTAAAGCAATTACACTCCAATAAAGATGTTAAAAAAAAAATTGGGGGCATCAGTAAGACATCCAGGGGTGTCAAGTAGGGAGTTGCATGAGCTAAACTGGCACTCAAGGGAGATGTCTGGGCTGGAGGTAAAAATTTGGTTGTCATCAGCAGAGCAATGGTATTTAAAGCCATGAGTGTGGATGAGATCACCAAGGGAGTATGTGTAGACCAAAAAGAGATGAGGTCTTCACCGGAGCCCTGGGGCACTCCGGTGCTAAGAGGTTAGGAAGTTAAGGAGGGACCAGCAAAGAAGCCTGAGAACTCACGGCCAGCAAGTTGAAGGAAATCGGGAGAGCTTGTCGTCTTCAGAGCCAATTGAAGAAAGTGTTCAAAAAGCACTAAAGGGATCAACTGTGTCAAATGCGGCTGATAGGTCAGCAGGACGAGGGCCAGGAAGTGGCTGCTGACTTAGCAATGCAGAGGTCACTGGTGACCTTGAGAAGAGCAGTGTCATGGAGCAGTGGGCGTGAAGGCCTGACCCACGTGGGCGCTTGTGGCAGAGATGGGAAGAAGCAGACCAATTCTTCCAGCAAGGCTGCTTACTGAGCCCCTGTCAGGTGCCAGAGGTGGTGTACCTACTCACCATAGGTCCCAACACCATAGGCCCCAGCCTGAGGAAACTGGGGCTCAGACAGGTTCAGGGCCTGTCCAAGGTCCCACAGCAGAGCTGGAATTCCCTACTCAGGCCTGTCTGACTCTGAAGCCTAAGACCTTTCCACCCCGCTGCATCTGATGCCCAGGAGCAGAGGCCCTTCCAGGCCTAATCCCTATACTTCTTCCGAGACTCCCCTCACAGGGCTAGTCAGAAGCTAGCTGGAAATTCACTGTCTTGCTTGGTGGGTGTGATTTGCCTAGGTGTAGACAAACAGCCACCTACCAGTTTTCATTGCAACACATGTAGCAGGCACAGGTGCTAGGAGAATGGCAATAAGCTGGCCTCAACCTCAGCCTTCAAGCTTTGTATTGATGCTTACATACCTAGGCCCTCTGGCCCCAGACAGTCCTGGGTTCAATCCTGCCTCTGCCATATACTAGTTCAATGACCCTGGACAAATCCCTTAGTGGGGTAAGTTTTGATAGTCTCATCTGTCAAATGGGGATAAGATTCTCAGAGCTCACATGAAGATGCAGGATGGGGATACAAAAGGCCCAGCTCAGCTCTCGGTATGTAGTAAGCACTCACTAAATGGTTGCCACTAGTTTTTTTGCCCACTGGAATTGGAAAGGAGTTTGCGGGTGGCTGGGAAGCCGACTAGCAGTGACCAGGCAGCCTTTTGGAGCTGGTCTGGTGAGAGCTGTCATGAGCCTAGGGGCTGGCAGAGTTGGAGGGACCGTTGGGGAAGGGCCTTAGCTGGGGCTCTTGCCTGGAGACTAGGAAGCTGGAAGGGAAGGAATGAGGGGGAAATAGTGTGAGCCTCAGATAATTTCATTGTGTAACATGTGTTACCCCATACTGCCTGACACAGGCAGGAGGATGTGGGGCTAAGAGCGTGGGCTGTGGTGACAAACGCTGGGTTCAAGTCCAGGCTCCTTCACTTCCCAGCTGAGTGACCTCAAACTACTTTACTTAACCTCTTTTTGCTTTACTTTCCTTCTCTGTGTGAAAGAGATATTTATAGTGCCTTTCTCAGAAGTATTGTCAGAAGGATTAAAACTAATATGTGTAAAATGCTCTCAACATAGGAAGCTCTCGAGAAATATACACATGTTAGTGGTTATTTGCTGTCACTAACACTCATCACAGTCCTACTATCTGCATTTTACAGAAGAGGAGCTATGGCACAGAGAGGGCCTGTAACTAGCCCAAGGTCACACAGTTAGCGGGGAGGCCACATATTCAAATAGCCTGCCTTCCTCAGAGCCCACTGGACACCCATCTCCCTGAAAAGGGTCCCCAGAGTTCCAAAGCTGACTCCTTGGGAGTGTCCTCTCCCTGCATCCACATTGTCACCCACAGGGATGGGGAGTTTATCACCTCCTGAGAGGGCCACCATTCCTAGAGCAGAGGACCCTGCATGGTGGAGGCACCTGGCGAGAGTGAAAAATGCTTCCTTAGATTGACCTTTCCATGGACCCTGGCCCTGATCCCTACGCCCAGGCAGTGGCTGTGTCCCCACCAATCCCCTCAGTGCCCAGAGGGCAGCAGTAGATGGCACCAGGGCTCAACATGCAGAGGCTTCTCTTTGGCAGCTTCATAAGACCCACAGGAAAAGAGAGGGAAGTATTGTTGGCTGGCACATGAATTGTTCCAGGCACTTCACTGACATGCCTATCAGCTTGGGCTTATAGTCCCCATTTTACAGATATGAAAACTGAGGCTTAGAGCGGTTGACTGGCTTCCCCAAGGTTATCAGGCCCTCTCTTCCTGTCTTCGGGTGGTGAAGTCAGAATCAGGCCCTCATCAGGCTGACTCCCAAGCCTGTCTTTCTGTTGCGCTATAGTGTACTTGTGCTCACGTGTGTGCATGAACACGTATACACCAAATCATGTGTTTTCCTTGCTTGGCACTTTGGTGTCTTTTACAGGGACCCTGAAATATCAGTGTCTTAAAAGAAGAAATCTGAGGGTGGTTGGGAAAGAAAAAAAAGACGACAAAGGGGATGTCGCTGGTTGCCTACCCTTTTGGGGATTCCACACGAGCATCCCACTGTGCCCAGCACTGGCAGCCTCTGAGCACCAGGCCTTGGGATGGGCACTGTGACCCCGAGGTAAAGCAGAAAGGCGAGGGAGGCAGACATGGAAACCAATCATTACCATTTGGTGCACTAATAACTACTACAAACTTCTCAGCTTTTCCGATACACCCTGCTCCCTTCTGCCCCTTAGCAAATGCTCTTCTCTTAGCCAGAACCCTCTCTTCCTTGGTTTGCCAACTCCAGCTCATCCTGGACCTCGGCTTGGCTATAATTTCTGCAGGAAGCCCCTCCAATATAGGTTAACAACCATCTCTGCTTTGCTACCCCAGACATAGTACCTATTCTATACTGTAATCGCCTAGCTATCTGTCTGTCTGCCCTGCTAGAGTGTGGGCTCCACAGAGGCAGGGACTGTGGCCATTTTCTCACCGTTATATCATTAGTATCTGGAAGAGGGCCTGGCACGTGGAAGGAACTCGATAAACATGTATGAATGAATGAATATCAGCTGGACAAGGGAGAGAGCTACATGTTGAACTGATGGCACAGATGTTCCATCTGACTTTCTCTCCTCTCTTGTGTTGTTCTTCCAGATGTGGCAGCCAGGACCCCTCCAGAGCCAAGACCTTCTCCAGAAGGTGACCCCTCCCCACCGCCGCCACCACCACCGATGTCAGCCCTGGTGCCCGACACTCCCCCAGACACCCCTCCCGCCATGAAGAACACCACTGGCCCTAAGCAGCTCCCGCTGGAACCAGAAAGCCCCCCAGAGCTGGTAGGACCTAGGCCAGCCCCGAAGCAGGAAGAGTCCCCTTTCTCAGAAGTGAAGATCAGGGGACCCACCCCACCAGCCACAGGCCCACGGGCTGCCAGGCCTCCTCGAAGGAGCAGCCAGCCATCCCCAACAGCAGGGTCAGCTGCCGACAGCCCTCCCACGAAGCAAGGTATATGTGATGTCCCTAGTCCTGGGCCCAGTCCCAGCCCTGGATGATGCCATCCAGGGGAGTCTCTACCTGGAGGAGATAAGAAAAGGCATGGGATGAGGCCTTCGGGGAGGGCCCTGAGGCTGACTCCCCTCTTGGGGGGAGGCTCTTGACCTAAGCCTCTTCTTGTTCCCTCTATTAAGATGCAAAGAAGGCAGGAGAGAGACACAAGCTGGCGAAGGAGCGGCGGGAAGAGCGGGCCAAGTACCTGGGTAAGTGTGTGGGAAGCATCTTCTTCAGCGTCACCACCATCGACATCCTATTGGTAACACTAACACTTCTGGAGCATTTATTATGTGCCCTGTGCTAAGAGCGGTACGCTTATCCCACTTAACCCTCCGCCCATTCTGAGGATGGGGAAACAGAGGCTCAGAAAGATGAAATCCTTTGCCTGAGCCACACAGCTAGTGGCGTAGCTGAGATTCAGACCCAGAAGCCTCATCTCACCCCAAATCTCATGCTCCTCATCACAATACGTGAGTATCGATACAGCAGACCCCAAAGTCAGACAGGGATCTGGCACTAAAGAGCTTGTTTCTCCCTCGGTGCCCAGAGACCATGAGGCCAATGGGAAAGAAACAGGCCTCCCGTTGGGGAAGCCCTCATTCTGAGGTCTCAACCCATCTTCGGGGTGCCCTTCAATTTGAGGGGGGAGTCTGAGAGCAGAGGCACCTCCCCACCAAGCAGGCAGGGGGAAGACCCACCCAGGGTCGGAGGAACAGGCAAGGCCCCCTTGGAGGAGACACTTGCTGGGCCGGGCTCCGCAGGACTGCTCACGCCCCCTGGGGCTCCTTTCTCCACAGCGGCCAAGAAGGCGGTGTGGCTGGAGAAGGAGGAGAAGGCCAAGGTGCTGCGAGAGAAGCAGCTCCAGGAGCGCCGGCGGCGGCTGGAGGAGCAGCGGCTCAAAGCCGAGCAACGCCGAGCAGCCCTGGAGGAGCGGCAGCGGCAGAAACTGGAGAAAAACAAGGTGCGTTTATGCTGAATTCTGACCAGGCGCACGTCTGATCTGTGTGCGTGTGTGTGCACACGTCTGCACACTGGCTTAGTGTGTATGCACATCTGTGTTCATATGTCTGCAGCTGTGTGCCATAGGTACTACATCTGGGCATCTGTGCAGATGTGTTTGCTTCTGTACACGCCAGGGTGAGCACTTGTAACCCTGTGCTGTCAGTACACGTATGTGTGTGTGTATAGGTGTGCAGAGATGTGTCTGTCTGAGTGCGCTGAGTGAGCTCCTAGTTAGGAGAACCCTGGCTTGAGCACCATGAAGATATGAAGGAAAAGGCAGCCTGGCCCTGCCCCGGGGCCTCAGGCTAAAAGCAAACACAGCTCCAGGGTCAGGACCCACGTGCCAGTGGCCCACCTGGGAGTCCCAGGCACCGAGAATCCCGCTCCATCCTCAGAGAAACAGCTCATACACTCAGATAATGAGTCAAGAACAGTGAAAAGCTCCCCAAGAACAAGTTGAAAGGGATCTGTTGCAAACTGTCTTCAATCATAGGGGGAGGCATTGTCCCAGGAGAGAGAGGGCCTTTCTCCCAGGTAGGAGGAATGATTCTGAGCCCAGACCCTTCCCCTCTGCCCCCTCCTCACCAGGAGCGATATGAGGCAGCCATCCAGCGGTCAGTGAAGAAGACGTGGGCCGAAATCCGGCAGCAGCGCTGGTCCTGGGCAGGGGCCCTGCACCACAGCTCCCCAGGACGGAAGCCCAGTGAGTGCGCTGGAGGGGCCACAGGGTGGGCGGGGGAGGTTGGGGCCTGACAGGTGGGGGAAGGGAGCAGCTTCAGTGCAAGGAGCTGGCAGCTCCTTGCAGCAGGTATGCCTTGTTTCGTGTGACTTGTGCCTTCTGGAATGATCTGTAAACCCAAGTCTGTAAAACCAAGTCCTTTACAAGGACTTCCACTATCGAGTCAGAGGCCGAGTCTCTTCATTCGGTTCGCTCCTCAAACCTCTGTCATTTTAGATTAGTCTTCTTTGCTCCTGTCAATTGCTATTAGTTGCTGATACATAGAAGAGCATTTTAATACCCTGCAGACACTGGATGTTTAAAGAAAACAGTCACCCCCTTATGTATCTGTCTTGGAAGGTAGATTTTTGTCTCTGAGTTTTCTTCACGTAGGGCCATCGCGGATTTTGGTCTGACTTTTTGCTGGCATGTATGTACCGCTGTGTTTGGATGTCTTTATGTAATGGCAAGACTCAGTATTTCTCATTGTGCATCTTTTGGTGTATGTGCTCATGGATCTGTGCATTGTGTGTCTTAATATGTGTTTGCCTTGGTGTGTTTGTGGCCTTGTGTACCTCAGTGTGGGTTCCCAAATCAGATGGAATTGGGTCAGGATCCCAGCTCTGGCACGTGTGGTGTGACCTCTGACTTCTTGCTGTCTCACTTTCTTCATCTGTAAAATGGGGATAACAGTACTACTTGCCTCCGAGGTTGTAGGTAGATGTTGGGGAGGATCAAGTGTGGTAACATGTGTGTGGTGCCCAGCACAGTGCCTGGTACACGGTAAGCATCCAACAAATGCTAGCTGTTACAAATATGATTAAGTTGCTTCGATGTATTTGTGCCTGTGTGCATCTGGGTCTGACCCTCTTTCCGTTGGTGTTTTTGTTTCTGTATCTGTGCATGTCTGCACACACGCATGCATGTGGAAGTACCTATCACTCTCTGTGCCCGGGCCTGCACGTCTTTGTCTTTGTGTGTCCCTATGAATATGTGGATTTGTGTGAGTGACTTTGACCATGGGTTCTTCTGTTTAGGAACGTCTCTGCATTTGTCCCAGTACCGTGGGTGTTGTAGCCATAGAGCCTTGGCTGGGCAGTGCCAGCAAGTGCCGACGCTGGGTGGTTATGGGGGAGGCGTTGCAGCACCCAGCCGTAGGGAGTGACTTCCTGGCCAGGAAGGCTGTAGTTTCTCTAGTTTTACTCCATCTCCTTCCTCTGTTCCTTTTCCGTCGGCTCCCCCAATCCAGGTTGTCTCTGGTCCCCTAACCCCCCCCCCGCCCCCCCCTGCCCCGTCCTCTCAGAGCCAAGTCTGCCTCCTCCTCCCCTTCCTAGCCTGCCCACTCCTCCCTGTCCCCTCCTGCCCGCGGAGCATCCTGCATGGAAGGCCTCAGTGCCCCCCCTGGCTCCCGTCCGGCCCGGCCCTAATGCCGTGTGTTTTCCCCTCCAGGTGGGAGCAGGTGCTCCGTGTCGGCAGTAAACCTGCCCAAACACGTGGACTCTATAATCAACAAGCGGCTCTCAAAGTCCTCTGCCACGCTCTGGAACTCCCCCAGTAGAAGTAAGAGAAGGCCCAGCCCTCCTCCCTCCAGAGCTCCTTTAGTCCCCACCAAGCCTCCTCCAGAGCTCAGCAAGAACCCCAGGTCCCAGGAGCCCTCACATACCCCAGGTCTCCATCCCCGCTCGACCCCACTCGGGGCTCTGCGCCCCTCGGGGGAGCCGGCATTTGGGTCTGGGCCCTGAGAACAGGGGTGTGCCCCGCAGGGGAAGAGAACAGAGACAAAGGGCAGTGACCCAGCAGGCAGAGAGCCTGGCTGGGGCCTCAAGAGCAGGTGGGTTGGGAGTGGGACTGGCGGTGGAGGGCGGGAATGGGCAGGCAGCCTCATCTCCAACCACAGCCAGCTGGCCTAGGCCAGCCTTAGGCAGGTGGCCTTGCCCCCGAATACCCGACGAGCCCTCTTATTCTGACTCCACCCTGGAGCGCCCATGCAACCCTGCCTTCTCTGCTTTCAGAGCCCCAGCCATGGCCTTGGCTGGCTCCAGAGCCTTGGCCAAGGAGGGTAGCGCAGTCCCTGTGTTCCCACCATGCCCTGGTGCTCACATGTGAAGGGGCCATGGTAGGAGTTATTTATAAGTTTCTCCAGCTTTTATTTGGTTGCTCTGTTGCCTAGCAACCAAATCAGCTGCTGTTACCAACCCCACCTGACTGAAGCTCAAAAATAACCCAGCAGCTGAGGGGACAGAGCAGGGTGGCCCAGGGCAGCCAGGCCCCCTTAGCAGCCTCTCCCTGGCACTGGCACGGGACGCACAAAAGCTGGGCCTCTCCTCAGTCAGAGGAGCACAAGGAACCCCACTGTCCCAGATCCATGGGGGCATGCCTCCCCAGACCAGCCCTCTGAGAGCAGGAGGTGGGACATGGAAGTGGGCAGTTGGGTCTGCCACCAACCTTGGGTGGCTCCTCTCTATACTCACAGTGCAGAACCCTTTCACCTGGGGAGAGCAGTAGGAGGGGACCCTCTAGTCCTGCAGGACATTGCCATGGGAAGTGTCTTGTTGCTTGGGTCTGCAGTGGAGGTCAGACCCCAGGATGGACCTGTGTAACCCCCCATGACTGGGGGGAGAGGCCTCCTGGGGGAGGAGACTCCTTGAGCTCGGCATGGGGGTGGTACCTGGCGGTCTCCGGATGCCTCTGCCTGCTCTGGCCCTGCGGTAACCCGCTTCTCCCGGCATCTCCCCCTAGATCGCAGCCTGCAGCTGAGCCCATGGGAGAGCAGCATTGTGGACCGTCTGATGACGCCCACCCTCTCCTTCCTGGCACGGAGTCGCAGTGCAGTCACCCTGCCCCGAAACGGCCGGGACCAGGGTAGGGGCCACGGTCCTGGGAGAGCCCCCTCGAGAGGCGGGACAGGGGCCAGCTTCGTGAGTAGGCCACGCCCCGACCGCACTCGTCCCTCCGCAGCCGTGCCCGTGTGCCCTCGCTCGGCCTCCGCCAGCCCCCTGACGCCGTGCAGCGCCCCCCGAAGCGGGCACCGCTGCGCCCCCGCCGGGGAGCGCCGCAAGGCCAGCGCCGGGGGCAGCCCTGCCCCGGCACGCCTCCGGCCCGAGGCTTCGCTGGTGAGTGGCGGGGACAGGGGCCCCATCCAGGGCAGCGCGGGCGCCTCTGACCTCTGCTCCCCGTCTCTACGGCCTCCTTAACCCTCCTCCCCAGGTGCAGAAGAGGAAGAAGGACAAGGAGCGGGAAAACGAGAAGGAGAAGAGCGCCCTGGCCCGGGAGCGCGGCCTCGAGAAGCGCCAGGCGCTGCCGGCCCCTCCGCGCCCGCGCCTCTCCACTGGCAACGCGGAGTTCAGGTGGGCCGGGCAGTGGGGCACACCGCCTGCCTATGCCAGCCAGCCAGGCAGCCGTTCATTCGTAAATATGTGTTAGGTACCCACCTCTGGAAGGAAAGCTCCTTGAGGGAGGATCTTTTTCGGGGGTGGGGGGAGCGTTTTGATCACCGAAATACCCTAGCACCTAGAACAGTGCCTGGCATCTGGTAAGCACTCAACAAACACCTGCTGGATGCATGAGTGGTCCTTGCCAGGTACTGTTCTGGGTGCCGAGGACGTTTCCGTGAGCCAAACCAGACCTAGTTCTTTTTTTTTTAATGTTTATTTATTTGGTTGCCCTGGGTCTTAGTTGCAGCACGTGGGCTTCTTAGTTGCAGCGGGCAGGCTCCTTAGTTGTGAAAGGTGAACTCTTAGTTGCGGCATGCATGTGGGACCTAGTTCCCTGATCAGGGATCGAACCCAGGCCCCCTGCATTGGGAGCGCAGAGTCTTAACCACTGCGCCACCAGGGAAGTCCCTAGGCCTAGTTCTTGCTCTTATTAGTCTTACTGGCTATTGGGGAAACAGACAGTAATCAAAGAATCACAAATGAATATGTAATTACAAACTGGGATGTATGCTCTAAAAGGAAATTTTATGTTTCTGTGAGAGCACATAAGGTGGGGTGCTGACCCAAGCCTGGGGAGGACACTTCCCTGAGGAAGTGACATGCTGAAAGTGTGTACATGTGTGCCTGGACACTCTGTGCCCTCAAGGTCTGACTCTTCTTTTTTTCTCCCAGTCCCAAATCCAAGGCCCGGCCATCCTCTCCCTCCACATCCTGGCACAGGCCTGCCTCTCCCTGCCTCAGCCCAGGGCCAGGTCATGCTCTGCCCCCAAAACCACCGTCCCCCCGAGGTACCACTGCATCACCCAAGGGGCGGGTTCGGAGGAAGGATGAGGCAAAGGAGAGCCTCAGTGTGGCGGGGCCTGAGGACAAGAACCAGAGCAAGGGCAAGGCCCTTGACGAGAAGGAGCCTGCAGCCCCAGCCTCACCCGCACCCTCGCCTGTGCCCTCACCCACCCCAGCCCAGCCCCAGGAGGAGCAGCCCACAGAGATCCCTGCAGGTGGGCAAGGAGAGAAGAGGCCAACAGGTGGGCAGGGCAGAGAAGCCAGCTTTGCCTGTGAGGGGCAGGCGGTCAGAGGTGTGGGCTGCCAGAGGTGCCTGGGGACTGGGTATTGGCAAAAGGAGGCTCCTGCCAGAGAGGAGGACCTCACTGTTCTGAGTTGGTGGCAGGAGTTTGGCGCGTGGGCCGCCTGGATCGCCCTGAGGTCCAGGAGGCACGGGGGCAGGCAGGGGTGATGGACGTGCGTGCTGATTCCTGGTCCCGCTGATCCCGCTCCAGATACAGCAGTCTTGACCTCACCCCCAGCCCCTGCTCCCCTGGGGACCCCTAGCAAACCGATGGCTGGCACGACGGACCGAGAAGAGGCCACTAGGCTCCTGGCTGAGAAGCGGCGCCAGGCCCGGGAGCAGCGGGAGCGCGAGGAACAGGAGCGGAGGCTGCAGGCAGAAAGGGACAAGTGAGTACGCCCTCGGGGCCTGAGGAGGCCTTTACAGGGGTTTGGGGAAGAAGCTGGGGATAAGCCTGCGTCTCCTCTGTCCCCCAGGCGAATGCGAGAGGAGCAGCTGGCTCGGGAGGCCGAGGCCCGGGCAGAGCGGGAGGCGGAGGCCAGGAGGCGGGAGGAGCAGGAGGCCCGGGAGAAGGCGCAGGCGGAGCAGGAGGAACTGGAGCGGCTGCAGAAGCAGGTGCCCCCGCGGGGCGGGGCGCGGGCGCCTCCTCGTGGCGGGCCTGGGGCCGACCGGGAGGGACAGCTGGAGGCCGGCTGCCTAAAGCTCACGGGGTTCTCTGGCAGAAAGAAGAGGCCGAAGCTCGGTCCCGAGAAGAAGCGGAGCGGCAGCGTCTGGAGCGGGAAAAGCACTTCCAGCGCGAGGAGCAGGAGCGGCAGGAGCGCAAAAAGGTGTGCAGAGCGGCGGGCCGGGAGTCCTGGTGGGCTGGGCCAGCTCCTGGGCTCAGTCCCCACTCCGTTGGAGGGGCTGGTGGGGCTGGGAAGTGGGCCCTGCCTTGGACTTGTAGAGGGTAGGACAAGAAGGAGTTGGGGTGAGGTCGGCTTCCTGGCCTGGAAAGAATTGATACGAGCTGAAAGGGCCTTGAAACTCCAGGACCAGGACTAGCTGGTGGGAGGTTGAGGGTTAGGGTGGGGCTTGGGCCTAACTGGTGTGGGGCTTCCCAACAGCGCCTGGAGGAAATCATGAAGAGGACTCGGAAGTCAGAAGCTGCTGAAACCAAGGTCAGGATGCCCCCAAGAGCGGTGTTGGGAGTGGAGGTCCGGTGAGGAAGGGAGGTTGGGGAAAGGCATCCAGGGTGGAGGAGGGAGGCCGTCTGGGAGGCTGCTCAGGGTCTGGGCTGGCTCAGTGGGATGGGGCCAGATATCCCCTTGAGCCTGACTGCTCTCCCTCTTCAAAGCAGAAGCAGGACAGAAAGGAGGCAAAAGCCAACAATTCCAGTCCAGGTAAAGGCCTGTTCCCCTCGTTTCCATCCCGATCCTCAGACCTCATCCTTTCACCAGCCCCTAACTGGTGGCCATTCCTTCCCAGGGATAGACCCTGTGAAAGCCATGGAGGCTCGGTCCTCTGGGCTGCAGAAGGAGGCTGTGCAGAAAGAGGAGCTGGCCCCCCAGGAGCCTCAGTGGAGGTACCAACTCCCAACCCCAGGGACCGTGAGCAGGGAGGCAAGGTCAAGCTGGCCCTGTGGGGTACCTGGGCTGTCCTACGATGGGAGGTGCCTAAGCATTGGCCTCTGCATCCACAGCCTGCCAAACAAGGAGTCGCCGGGGTCCCTGGTGAATGGCCTGCAGCCTCTCCCAGCGCACCAGGAGAATGGCTTCTCCCCTAAGGGACCCTCTGGGGACAAGAGTCTGGGCCGAACTCCAGAGGCACTCCTGCCCTTCGCAGAGGCAGAAGCCTTCCTCAAGAAAGCTGTGGTGCAGGCCCCGCAGGTCACAGGTAGGTTTCCCTGCCTCCCGGACCTATATCTGTACCTCCCAGCAGCCTTCCCTGGCCTCCTCAGCTGTGCCCTCTCTTCTCCTAGCTCTTCCAGAGGCCCTCTCAAGCTCTACCCTGAAGACCCCCAGCCGTCTGAGCTTGGAGCCTGGTTTCCCCTGACTGTTTCCCTTCCTGCTTTTTTCCCAGAAGTCCTTTAATGGGTTGCCTTGGATCCAGGCACAACTATGAGGGCTCCTTTGCATCATCTACCAGGATGTCTGCAAGAGAAAGAGACAGAACAAAGCTGGAAGTGGCCTGGGCCCCTGAGGGTTGGGTCGTCTCTGTTATTTTTAACCTGCACCTTATAGACTGATGTCTCTTTGGCTGGAGCCCCTCAGTGCATTCGTGTGCTCACACGCGCGGACCCCCCCCCCCC